ACATTCACCGAACCCTTCATTAGTGAAAAATAAAAATATGATTTTTTTTTTTTTTTTACAAACGCATTTATTAAAAACAGAAAAAAAGTAAACACAATTAGTAGAAGTACAAAGTATAAGTTTTTTAATTGTGCACAAAATGAACCAGCCAGTGATAGCCAAGCGGGCGTGTCATAACTACCGGTAATTGACAGGTTGAGTCCGGTGGTCTTAACCTCCATGGTAGAGGCTCTGTCGAACCCTTGAGACTGATTCACCTAACCCCTGGGGTTCCATCGAACCCAGGTTAAGAACCACTGGTCTAGAGTGAAAATAAATATGCCTCTCACTGTAAATTTGACACACTACAGAGTAGGGTGCCGTTAAACAACTCTGCCAAATTAGAGTTTTTTGAAAGTATTTGAATAAAGCTGTGGGCATGTCAACTATATGCCCTGGAATGACACCCTACTCAACTGCCAGTCAAATACCACTGCCAGAAAACTGGATGCTAGTTGTTCTCGAATTGCCTTTTGCCAACATATACAGCACTATGAAAAAATATTTGCCCTCTTCTCACATATTTTTTTTTTGCTTAGTTTCCCTGACTTTAATATTTAAGATCATCGAACTGATGTAAATATCAAACAACGATAACCCAAGTAAACATAAAATGCTGTTTTTAAATGGTGATTTTATGTTTTAAAGAGGGAAAAAAATCTATTCAACCTTGCCCTGTGTGAACCTTACTTGCTCCCTTGTTAAATCATAAATTAACTGGAGCTAATCACATTTTCTGGAAAACCGACTTCATTTTCACTGCTCACACTTAAGCCTGATTACCCCGGACCTGTTCAATCAAGAAATCACTTGAACACCCTCTGTCTAACGAAATGAAGTCAGCCAAAAGATCACAAAAGCAACAAATTGCCACAGTCAAAAGAAATCGCAGAACAGATGAGGAATAAAGTCATTGACATTTGGGCTGCACAATATTAGAAGAACATGCAATGTTCTTTTCTGTTTGGCTCTTGGCGAAGGCGGATGCCCCCCCCCCCCCCCCCCCCCCCCCCCCACACACACACACACTTACTCCTCTGCTTGCCTAATCGGTCAAATGTAGATTTAGCCTCCGGCCATACTCACAGCGCTATGGAAAAAAAATTTGACGAAAAGAGCAGCCGGTGGGGAGCCTTCTTGCCCCTCTGGAACATTTGTTACTAGATACGCCTTCAATCATTGGCAGAAGTGGTATGTGGTTTGCCTGACACACTACAAAATTGGCCTTCTGATAACAAAATAAAGAACCTGAAAAAAAGGGCAAATACTTATATCCCACGAGTTTCCGCAGCACTGAACTGAAAAGGAACTGTATATTTATCTAACACAGTTTAGTGCTCATCAAAACTGGCTACACTAAAATGACCATATCCTACCTATGACTTAACAGTTTATTGCATTTCCAAAAAATGCAATAAACATTACAATTTGACACAGTTACAGAACCACTTGAAGCTGCCTTCAGACTTTGCTTATGGTCACATTTGAGTGTTGGTGTCTCAGACAACTTCCTGCTGTGTGCTCCTCAGTTCGTGTCATGCGCTGAGCTGCAGGAGAAGCCGTACAATGCCGATCTTTCTATGTTGGGGGACAACCAGCACGTTCACCCCCACACAAAGTCCTCCTCTTGTTGGTTGGTGCATCCTCCTGCGAGTCACAAGCTTCCTGTTTTGGAACATCACTCCATGACCTTGTGCAAAGATCTGCAGCACCTCGTTTGCACGGTGACTCAAATCGTGAAGGAGGAAGGTGAAAAACAAGGCGATCCGAGTTCACTCAACCCGACGAGGACACAGTGTGTGCTTTTCAACAACCCGGCGCATTACTACCTCTACAATCGCCTGCTGGATTTCCTCTCAAGTCGAGACATTGTGAATGAGCAGATCAGCCAGGTGGTGAAGGTGTGCCAGCCCGGAGAAGTTGTCATCCGGGATGCGTTGTACCGGCTCGGGGTGGCAAACGTCGACCTGGAGAGGGGGGAAGACAAGAAAAGTGTGGTGGAGGAACTGAAATAGGGGACAGTGACGGCCTATGGTGTCGTCGTGCCTCAGTGAAAGCAGTCAGAAAGCAACTTTTGTGACTGAACGTGGAAACTACTCACAAAAAGTTGCAGGTGAAATTCCGGGATGAACCTAAAATGATCATTGACGGCGATGGAGTTCAAAAACGACATTCTCAGAGGGAAATGGCTGGACTTTCTTTTTCACACGACGTCATTGGCAGGTTGCAACAGAAAGACTGGAAGAGTCACAGAGAGACCAAGAAGTGCACATTCTTTTCCTCTGAATTAATATAAAAGTTTATTTATCTACCCGAGTGACAGTTGTGAATTGACTAAACACTTGTAGTCTTTTAAGCATTCACTACGACAACTTCACAAAATTCTACCAAAAAAGTGTACCAGAAGCAGAAGTCAGTAAGTCACTTATCAGATTATAATAATGGAAACAATACTTTTTATGTTTCATGAAACAATGATATGTAAACATGTGAACTGAAGCACTGAACTTATCTAGACATTATTATCTAGACATTATATAAATAAACATCTAAAGTATATGTACATACACGGTATACCAGTATATAAGGCCTACCATCCAATTGAAAAGAAAGAATGGTTTTCTATTTTTTTCCCCCCCACATTCCACCCTTTGCGATTTGAAAATTGCATTCTCTGTACAGCGTCTTGAGTTAAAATCAATTAATTGTTCAGCCCAAATAGTGCAAAAAGTATTGAATCATTGAAGAGTTGGAAATTCAACATCAAAGGTCAAATCTTGACGCCCACTGACTTTGCATGAATACGTTGGCCATAAATTGATGCATTTTCACCAGTTTTAAATAGTCAAAGGTTTCTTAATATTTGTCACAGGAAGAAAAAAATAACTCATATCACTGAAGTTGTCTTTAAAAGAACTGTCCGATAATGCTGGTGTCTTGTCACTCAATTACATTTTCAAATTTTACGCATGTAGCCATTAAATGCACATGTCATTCTCCTTGTTTTATATTTAGTTTGACAGTAAACCTCACCTGGGATTGACAATAAAGATCTTGAAGTGTCTTTTTGTTGTTGTTGTGTTTACAAAAGTGCTGCTACTGTGAAGTGAGTTGAGTTCACTGATTCCACACAACATTTTAAGTTTGAGCGCACAAGAAAAAAGAAATTGGCAGTATGACGCATAATCCGACACACTCGTATCTCAAGGCACCGCTGTACAGATCATCTTTTATTGGCTGCAGTGTGTATGGTGAGGGCACTCCAGATTATTACATGTTTAAAAGTGTGTGTTAGAATAGATTCAAAAGACTTTGATCACAAATTGTTAGTAATGTGTTGAACAATAAACTCAGAACTGTTTAAATTGTGTTCCTTTGAAATGGTTTTAACATGCAAGTTATCGTTACACATCCCTCGTAAAGTATTGGAACAGGAAAGCAAATTGCTTCATTTTTGCTGTCGACTTGCTTAAACGGAAAAAGGACCAAGTCAGATGGAGGGTGTGATCGTAAGTTGTGTCTGCGATTCTGATGTCAGTAATTGGAAATAAAAGCGGAACGCTTGATCTCTTCTCATCTTTTGATGTCAAACCCAAATGTCTCAGTGTCCAGTAAAAATTATGCTTCGGCCTCAATTGTCCCAATATTGTTGGAGGGCTGTGTCATTAATTTCGAACTTTTATTGTTATCATTTACCTGTATTACATACAAAATTTTGAGGGGAATGTATCTGTCATGCGCTAACTCACACTTACCTGCCATTTGCTCTTTGTTGACTTTTGGACTGACGATCCATGTACCGGTACTGAAAATATTGATACTACTTTCACTTATCTTTTTATCAAGACAAAACATTCTGAGATTCACCTCACCATTAAGTGTTATTTATCAAGAAACTAAACAGTCAAGCATCATGTCACGAGCCCAAGCCAATGAAGTTGAGATGTTGTGCTAAACATGAAAACAAAATACAAATTATGTTTCCAAATCATGTTCAACGTATATTTATTTGAATAAAGACCAAATATTTAATGTTCACACCGATAAATTATTGTTGTCTGTTTTTAGGTTTTACACAAATATCTTTAATCTAGATGTGACAAATGTGTCATAGATCCATTTTATATTCATGTAGATTTTTTTTTGTTTTTTCAATGATGAAACACAACCCTTCACATAATTCTAAAGGAGGCTGGTAACCTTGCATAAACTGCGGCAGTCGAAGCATTTATTTAGGACATTGTCTTGAACTGTATGGAGAATCATTTGGGATATTGTTTTGAAAAATCTATACGGTATTATTATTTCCAACCACGCTAGGCAATCAAGAAAAAAAAAAGAAACGTTGACTTATTAGAGACATGTTCATTCTGTTGTAGGCTGATCTCAAAGGTAAAAGTCACATCAACTCAACTCAACTCAAATGTATTTATAGTACACTTTCAAACAGCCAAAACTAACATATACAACAGTAAAGCAAAGCAACAAATCAGTAACAAAGACGGTAGAGAGCACCAAACAGTATAACTAAGATCATAATTTGGGTCATGCTGAGTCAAATGCCAAAGAAGTGAGTTTTGAGGCGGGTTTTAAAGATGGGCAGCGAGGAGGCTTGCCGAATGTTCAGTGGGAGGTCATTCCAGAGAGAGGGACCAGCAACGGAAAAGGCTCGATCCCCTCTGACATCAAAGCAAGCATGATAGTGACATGTTACGGCGCAAAAAGCTTTTTGTTGAATTTTAGTTCAAGTGGTTACACAAAATAAGCAACATTAAGAGAACGCAACATTATTTTAATTGAAACCACACAAAGGGAAATCTGAGCACATTTGAGGTTCCGCAGGGTTGCCTGACTGTGGGAAACACATTGGAGGAAGTGTATGATCAAAGAGGAAGTCAGGATAACGGAAGTCAAGTCGTTGCAGTCAAAAAGTAATCTCAAAGACAAACTTCACGCCGGAGTTTCATTATAAAGCTTTTATTAGTATCGAAGACTGTCTCACTCGCACAAAACCGCACATCTTGTATATGAAGTGTGCATTCATGACAATATCCACACCGCCCTTTCCTAGATGCTAAAATAAAAATCCTTCTTGATATACATCAGGAGTTACATATTTACATGATCTAAAATCTCATCTCATTTTGATGCAGGCACATTTGGAAATGCCGCATGTGGCGCGCATCTCTCACAGTTACTTCATACAGTTGGCAGTGTAGGCTGACTGCTACATATGGTCAAAAGTCAAGGTTAAATAGAACTCGAGAAAAAAAAAAGCACAAAATCGCCCACAAACACATTCACATTGTCAAGCACTATTCCTCTATTCTATCTTGGATCCATCGGTTGCCATGGTGGTTCCGATATACGGCATTGCTCCCATACGGTCCTGAACCTGCGGATAATGGATTTGACTTGAGCGGAACGATCACATGTTCCCAGCAAGCCACGGCTACTGGAATAGTGTCACAAGAGCTCCATGACCAAAGCACGGAGGGCATAAAACAACGTTGCCATTCTTTGCCTCCGTCACAGTCCATTTGGCACGCGGAAGAAAATAAAAACGCACACACACACACGCACGCACGCAGAAAAAAAAACAAAAAACAGGCAGGTCACTTAAACTGATCAGAGAAGAAAACCTAGCTCGTCTACGCAATTTATAAACAGTCGACATTTGTTTGCTGTCTACGTGAGGTTGTCGCGGAATGAAATACAGAGAGAGAGATGTTCACACACAATATTATCTTGATGAACTTCTCTGGATTGGTGGAGTTGAACTAGTCCTACACAGATAGCGCTAAAAGAGCCCATGAGGAAGCATTCATGCTTGTTTCCTGCAGTCGCGTCTCTAAGTTTGATGTTTTTGGTGACAAGAGCGGACGTGACAGACATCGCTTCCCTCCATTCGGCACGGATTTTCAACAAAACTGATAGTTGTTGGTCTTCATCAAAGGCTGTTCCTCCTCCTCGGGGTCACAAGACAGCTCACAGGGGCCGTCAGAGCACTTGGGCGGGTCACAGTCTTCACACTCTTCGCCCAGCGTGACCTGCTGTTGCTCCTCAGCCTGCGGTTGCTGCTCGGGTTGCTGTTGCTGCACATTCTGGTAAATTAACTGCGGGGCCAAGAGGAATTTGGTGGTCAACTTGGTCACGAAAAAAAAAAAAAAACAGGAAAGAAAAGATGAATTTTGTTTCTTATGTGCTCTGCAAGATAATTAAAAGAAAAGGCACAGCGTTGGGTAATCTGTTTGACAGCACACTTGATTAAATCTCTTGTCTGGGATAGAATTGAATGCCCACATGGTCCATCGAATTTTATGATTTTTTTTTTTTTTTTTTTTTTAATACCGCTTATCGTCATTGAGGTCACGGGTGAGCTGGAATCAATCTCAGCTGACTTTGCACAAGGGGCAGGCTCCACTGTGAACTGGTCGGCAGCCCGTCACATTTGAACAATTTTGAGTCAAGAATACACCCAATGTTTTGGGAATATCAGAGGTGAGATGAAGAAAACCCACTCAAGCGTGGGGAGCAGATTCCTTCACAGGAAGGCCGGAGCCACAGAAGTGCTCACGTGGTATCAGTCGACAAGAGATGTTCAGCTCACCTGCTCCTGTTCCGCGTGTTCGCCGAGCTGTCTTTGTATCATCTGACTGATCTTACTGAAAGTGGGGCGCTTGGTCGGCTCCAGATTCCAGCACATCTTCATGATGTCGTAGCTGAAGCGAGAGAGTGAAAAGATGGATTTTCAGCAGCGGCGTGGTTCCGGTGGCAGAGTGGTCGTCTCTCAACCCGAAGGTTGTGGGTTCGATCCTCAGCTCTTGGGACTTGGGACTGTGTCCATGAGCAAGATCTAGCTATGTGACTACGTTGACGGTATATGCCTTCAATATTCTGGTTCAGGTCAGAATTCCTGTTTCTGAAACATTTGGAAGAAACCTACTTACATGGGTGAGCAGAGAGTTTCTCCCATATATATGGTAATTGTGATCGATCGGGATATTAGCATCGAAGCAGAGACGCACAGACATCATGATGGAAATAGACGTCATTTCTGCTTCTTACTTTCTACCATCAATAAAGTCTATTTACCACTACCGTTTACTATCCCATTTTTGGTGTTCGTCTTGAAGGCTTTAGGGCCAGTGGCCAATAGTTATACTGTTCATTTTCCATCCGCACATGCTCGCTAGGTGTGTGCGAAAAGTTCCAGGAATTATGTCACCAAAGCTACAAACCATGAGTTTTACCCTGGAACTTCAGTTTTCATATGCCAGTGATTCCCAGCCAGTGTGCCGGGGCCCATTAGTGTGCCGTGAGAGCTTTAATGGTGTGCCCCGGGAACTTCAAATTAATTGGTGAGAAATGTAGTTATTATTCACAAATAATGTATCTTTTTCCATCTGTAGATGCCAGCAACTTATAGTGACATAAAGACAAAAAAATAAGATCTATTAGATGGCAAAAAGTATGAAATTGACCTTTAAGTATTCCCTTTTTGTGACAATTTTGTTTTAGTGGTGTGCCGTGCGATGTTTCGAACTTAAAAAATGTGCCTTGGCTCAGTAAAGGCTGGGAATCGCTGTCATATGCCCTAGTTTTTGTACGATTCAAAAATTTCCGTCTTCCCGGGATTGACGGATTTCCGTCCGAAGCTTTTCAGAGCATGAGTAAAAAGGTATTGTGCATTCACCTGAAGGCATCGTACATTCCACAAAGCAGGCTTTTGTTGACAACTCAAGGCCGTAACCCTCCCGGCCTCCTCGCCAACACTCACCTCACAAGGGCGTGATGCATCCTGCCAATTGTCAGACCTTTAAAATGACAGCATGCAATCTAAGAGTTTCACCACACTTTCTAAGGCCACATGGTGGCTCATTTTACAGCAACATACATTTACAGCATCCTTTTATGTCTGCTATGTAAGCCAAAAGAAAATGTGGTGAAACTCTTCTCATACTCAGGTGCTTTTATTTTGAATGCCTGACTTTTGACAGGATGTTACACCAATTGACCCCATTTTGCCACAGTGTCGCCAAGCAGAGCGCGAGGCTTGTTATTGCCTCAAATTGTTCATAAAAGCCTACATTGTGGAATACGCACTGCCGTCTCCTGAAACCTATTTTACACGAAAGATTAAAGAAAGGGAGGCGAAAAAAAAACTGTTGAATTCAAGACAAAACTTGTCGCAAACTATGGAAATTGCTCCCCCTCTTGCTGCATCTGCCATCAAGATTCTCCAGTAAGGGTAAAAGTGATATTAAATGTTGATTTCTCATCTTCAGCAGTCATTTCTATTTATTTCACACCGTTTTCTGTATGGAAAACTATTATGTTTTTTAAAATGGTATTTTTGTTGACATGATATGCTTGTCTGGAAATGATTCATTGGAATTTAAATGATTTCTTATGAGAAATATTGCTTTGGTTTGAGTCAAACTTTCCGGAATGCAACAAGAACGACAACCGAGGTTCCACTGTACAGTGTTTTTCAAAAACAATGAACCATTTTATGACGCGTTGCCTATTTAAAAGAGCAGTTGTCTCATTTTGAAGAGCTTCCACAAGTGCTCTGGAGTCACATTGTTCCCGCGGCAATGTTCAGTTGTTTGCCCCCTTCGGAATGGCAAATCGTCAGCAAAAGCCTTTGTGCCAGACCTTTCTCTTTAACGCTCGGCCTGCGAGATCCTCAGCCCTACTGAGGTATGAATTTATAATCCAGCGCTATCCACTAACCTTAGTGACTTTAAGCATCGAACAACAACAGTCAGGAGATGGTGATATGCTGATACACATTTGGGAGAAATTCTCATGTGGCATTGATGTTGCCCGTGCTGCAGATGGTAGCCACATTGAATACTTGTAAGAGAGGAAATAAAAGTGGATTGTATTTTGCCTTATTGCAATATCGTGGAATAAAATCAATTCATTCTTTTAGAATAACCCAGCGCTGGGGATATCTTTTGCGATTGACGCATACATGTATATATATATAATACTATAATACAGGGGTCCCCAACCGCCGGTCCGCGGACCGGTACCGGTCCGCCGGGCATTTGGTACCGGGCCGCACAGAAAGTCAAATGAGGAGAAAGTCATAATTTTCTGACAAATGACGGCGGCCTTAAAAGTACGTTCAAGACAACTGGATTAAAGTTATGGCTGAATATTCTGAGATCGCCATAGTAGCACTGTTGCTATTTCCGACATGCTACCTGTGTGAGGCGGGGCTTTTCTGCAGCAACGGCGACTAAAACAAAATTACGAAGTAGACTTGACCTAAAACACGCACTTGAGGTGTCATTGTCTCCTATTACCCTGAGATGGGACCGTCTGGTTGCAGAAAATCAAGCTCGGTGCTGTGGTGAGTCGTCATTTTCATGCACTTTGAATTTGCGTTGTATCGTATTTTGAAGGCATTAAACATTGCCATAGCGATCGGAGTGTTGCGGCCAGATTAGACGCTCCTTGTGTTTATTATTATATTTCGAAAACACCACAGTTTTCATGCAGCTCATACCATATTATTTCCGCCACACCTTAAATGCCGGTCCCTGAAAATATTGTCTGACATAAACCGGTCCGTGGGGCAAAAAAGGTTGGGGACCCCTGCTATAATATATAATAATAATATAATACGCATGTATTTATATTGCACTTAATTGAACTGTGTTTTCTTTTCTCTTCTTTCTACCCACAATCTTGCTGCTGAAGGCTGTAAATTTCTCCAGTGTGGGACAAATAAAGGATATCTTATCTTATCTTATCTTATCTTACAGTCGTATGTTCTGGGTCACCAATTTTGATCCGGGCCAAAATATCTACGAAACAAATCGAAAGAACACATTATGAACGCCAGGTCTTTTCAAAGTATATCAGTGGCCTGGCTGTTATTGATAAATTTTGTGTGATTAAACCCTTTCAGGGACAGCGGTTACTACAGTCGACAGCTTATCATGTTATCAGGTTACAGGGTGCATGAAAGGGTTCATCAATGCAAAGCCCTAGTTCACCTGGGAGATGAAAAGGCTTACTTATAATGCAACTACCCATTCATGGTTCAGACATTGCAGGTATTTTTTTTGTAAGAACAGATCTCTTGTATGACCTCTGTTTAGCATGTGTCATCATTCTTGTTATTGCTTTTTTATGCTTTCACTGTCCCCAGATTCTCCCAGGTGTTCACAAGCAAATGTGGTGGGAACACAGACAGTTTTCGTGACTGTTTCAGCCGCCCTTGAACACAGTTACCGCTCTCCCAGCAAAAACACACACTTTTATTTCACTTTCACAGTTTCAAGATTACTGCCATTTTCCACCATTGAACCCTCTGATAAATCTACGATCCACTTTTTGTGGACATGAGTCCAATTTGGCAGCGTACACAAACTTTGCAGCACTTGTAAAACAGATGAATATTTTGAAGATATTTTCATTTTTAAATTGCACTTGAAGAAATGCCCTTCACTGTATCTTTCATTGCCGCCAAATGTCACGGCTCCAATTTGACTCGAACAGTACAGAATGTGACTGTTGAAGCTGCAATGATAACAAGGGGGACTACAAGGAAGTGTTTACATGCTTGGACAAGAGAGACTTGTTCCCTGCCTCAATCTGTTTTTTTGCTGCCGTGAAATAGCAGTTCCATGGCTTACCAACATGGTGATCATGTGGCTAACAGGCAGAACTGAGGCCTGACTCAGACACGGACAACAGATGATTGGGAACTGACTCATATTTACTCCGCACCGTTTCCACAGAGCATTTATTCCGGGGTGGTGTGACAGGCGCGGCAAATAAGTGCACACTCATGCTCTCATGCTCTCTTACACATACACACACACAGAGGAGTGGAAAAAAAAACCTTCTTCTTCTTCTTCTGCGCTTTCCGCGGCCTGTTTAGCTCACAGCTTGTCCACCAAACGTCCTCAAACATTGTCATCTACAATCAGTTTGTCTATTCACACAGCAATCTGCCATCCATCATCGGATCCTGGACATCTATCGTCAATACTTATTTGCCTCAATCCATTTCCATCAAAGGAACGGTTCAGCAAGGATGGCCCATTTTTGACTCCCAAACCTTTTATGTATTTTTCAATGAGCAAAATTATATTAGCTTGTATTTTCAATTTGATCCAAATAGTTTTGGAGAAATCGATAAATAACTAACTACTCTCAAAATTCCCCTTTTTGCTCAGCAATATAGCGACGCCACCCTCCCTCCACCCGTACTTTGGTGGGAGTCAGCAGAGGAACTGGACACAATTTGTTCAAAATCATTGAACGCATATCGCTAATAATATCCAAAAACGACGATCCAGCAGCAACATTTATGTGAACATCTCTACTTGTGCCGACTTCAACCTCTGAAAATGTCACAACGATTAGCCTCCCTGTGGCTCACTTATGAAAGCATGAGGAAATGAGCAGCTGACCTGTGGTTTCTCTCATTGTGGGTCTGCTTTTCTTTGATAAGTCCTCAATATACGAACACCCTGCATTTGACAGGCTTTTTGGAAATGTGAATTGTTCGTAGGTCGTTCCATATTAAGCTCCATCTCTGGCTGGTCAGAAGCCATTATCGTCCCGCTAACTACTGATCCGACAGCGGCAGTGGTGGGAGCCCGTTAACTGCCGGGTCTATGGAGTCTAACAAAACGTTATCATCGCTAAATGTCAGAACGCTAACCAACCGGCACCAAAATTCATAACAGATCCCTACTCTTGTCCACGTCAATCTGTAAAAATACAAAACAATCAGCACAATATTTGTGATTTTTTTGGAGATGTTCATGGCTTTCCCTCACAGGAGCTCATATTTCTTGTCAATAAAACCCCCAATGTTGTGCCGATTACTTTTATATTTTCATAGGTTGAAGTGGACATGAGCAGGACTGTGCATATGAATTTTGGTGACGATATGTCACCGTTTTCAGACATTAGATGACAACAGAACGTGTCAAAGCAAGACAGTAAACAAGAAAGACAATGCTTGCCTCTTTCCCTAAATCACTCAAGTCAAGTTGATGTGTTGAAAAAAAAACAGTTCCGGCCCATAATAATGGGCATCATTAAGATGAGCTAAATGTAGTCATATATAAATTCATTAAATCACTACTGAGTTCTTCAGGGGGATGAATTTTAGCGCTGACATACTTGGTACATACAGACAGACCTATTACATAAGCTTCAAGAGTCAGGTCAAGCTCTTTTAACTCCTGTGCAATGCAGGTACACTTCATGTACACCTGACATGCGTTGTGTTGCAAAAACAAATGCATGCCATGCATGGGTTTTAAACCTGTGGCATGCATTTGTTTTTGCAACACAACGCATGTCAGGTGTACATGAAGTGTACCTGCATTGCACAGGGTTAAACTGAGCAGTCAATGCTCGGTGTTGGGAAAGGTGGGGAAGCTTACATCTCAGGTGGGGCAAAGTCTGGCTGACACATCTGGTAACCCCGCTTCACCATTTTGTAGAACCTGGAGTCCACCGCCATGTTGGGGTAAGGGCTCTTACCTGTTGGAGCACAAACACATGAGAAAGCAACACCACAAAATATGACATTTGTACATGTGAACTGTGTGTGCGTGTGTGTGTGTGTGTGTGTGTGTGTGTGTGTGTGTGTGAGAGAGAGAGAGAGAGAGAGAGAGAGAGAGAGAGAGAGAGAGAGAGAGAGAGAGAGAGAGAATTTGACCTTAGAGCATGATATACATGATAAATTATAAGTAGATCATCTGTGGGGGGAAAAAAAAAAAATCACCCCCCCACCCTTTTAGTGGCCTGACTGTAATGTTTTAGAAATCACTGCGCCTGAGGAAAAAAACAATCATAGACAGAAGACACAACTGATGACAGGTCACTCATTTACCAAGCACTTGCGGGCACAAGCTTAGCTCGCACACATCTGCAGTTGCACTGACCTGTTACCTTGAGCTTCAGGAGCTTTGCTGAAACTAGAGCAGAGTATCTACCTCCAGAAATTTTTTTTTTAATTGCCCAACTGGGCATAAAGACCAGCAAACAGAAGCAGAGCAAAGGGATGTCAAGCATCTGAGAGTATTTAGAAGTGACGCAAAATTTGCTATCTTTCTGCACTACAAGATGTTGATTGTACATTTTTTTAAAAATGAAACTGTACATTTAGTAACACACGAATAACAACTTATGCTTCAAATGTAGCAAGCAGCCATGGTTAACGTTGGCTTTTTTATGGTGCTAATGCTACCTTAGCATTGCTAGCAGTGATGTTTTCTTAAAACTGGACAGAGTTCTCTGTGACCATTTATCAAGACTGCACTTTCATAAATGGCTATGTTTGGGGCTTGTGCACATTCGTGAGGAGCGTATTTATGGCCTTGCTAGGAGTTTTCACACTGACAACTGTCACATTAGGGAAATAAATCAATACTTTTATAAGAGTCTTTTTTTTTTAATCTGTATGTCTACTGACATTAAGAGTGTGTGCATTTTTGCCACCACTGTAGTGTGTGTGTGTGTGTGTGTGTGTGTGTGTGTTGGGGTCTTGCTCACCCAGAGAGAATATCTCCCACAGGAGGATTCCATAAGACCAGACGTCACTTTGCACGGTGTACACACAGTCGAAAATACTCTCCGGAGCCATCCACTTCACTGGCAAACGAGCCTTCAAACACACATGACACCTCAATCAATGAAACAAGTACGCATCAAGAACGGTATGGTTGACAAATTGTGTGCTTACGTTGCCCTTCACCACGTAGTTGGAGTCGTTCATGATGTCCCGCGCCAGGCCAAAGTCACAAATCTTGGCTACTCTGTGGTCCGTCAGGAGAACGTTTCGAGCAGCCACGTCTCTGTGAATACACTGCACGCGAGAAAGAGGCTTTTCTCATCGAATGGTAAGGCAAGGTCGCTGTCATATCACGGAGTTTCTGTTGCCTAGTAAAAACACTTGACAAATTGGTTACAATGTGCTTAATGTGTTTTAATGTGCTTAAAGCATATGCAAATGATATTTTAAGGCGTGCTGATGTATGAGGATCACCGTAGCACATATTTGAAGCTTGCACAAAGAGTTGGTAAGAATACAACACCAAGCCAAGGGAGGAGAATCGAAAATTGGTTTCCAGTAATTGAGTAATTAAATGAGTCCATTTGATTCCGAGGAATCGTTTCCTTGCCCGATGATTCCACTAATTGATTCCTCTTAAAAAATAAAAAGGACCGGTGTTTATTCCCAGTGCCTCGTTCTTGGGTTTGATTTGGCCGACGCAGTTGAGGGGAAAGCAGGAACCAGTCACTCACCTGCTGGTTAGGCCGCTTAAAGTGCCTTGTTGGGCTGTGATTAGGCTCATGTAATGTCAAGAATGAGAGAAGAGTGAGGAGAAAAAAAAAAGTGTTGCGATCTGGCCATTACGATATGGTACGGTGGGGGTCTCGCCGCGGGAAGGGCTGCTCTGATGCTCATATTTCTCAGACGGGCCTGTCGGGAAGCTCCCCTGACTGTCTCTGGAGGTGGCAATTTCTACTGTATGTAGTGGATGTCTATAATCGATCCAAGGTTTCTTGCAAAGCTGGGTCAGTTAAGTTCTTTGTTGCACAACAAGTCTTTGTCTTCTGTCGGAATTAGTTTTAGGTCGTGTTGAATTCAAAAGAAGCCCTGTCAGTATTCCCAAATTTTATGTAGCCAAAAGTGTTTTCTTTTTGGTCAATTAAAAGAGGATTAATAGCCTGGTGAGAATGATGAAAGCGAAAGCTCCCCATTTTCTCTGGAGCAACAACAGTGAAACGGGAACATTTCCGAAAACACTCTGATATCTTGGTACTCATTCATTGCATTGTATTTTTGGTCGATGGCATACTTTGAGAAGTAAGCGGCCTCCTTTTCATTTATTTCTTCGTAAAGGATTCACCACAAATTATGAGTGCATGCTTGATGACAGTTATACTGAAGTAAACAAAACCTTTTTTGTAATGTCTTTGCCTCACATCATAAGAATCCTTCAGAGAAGGGAATCGGGACAAGAAACAGTATTGATATTGGAACCAGAATCACAAAATTCTTACCAATTCCCAACCCTGCTCAAGTCTATGATTGAGCGGTAAGCAGACCAGGGTGTAACCTGCCTCTTGCCCAAATTCAGCAACGACACCAATGTGAACAATGCAGATTGCAATGGTTAGAGCAAGTGGATGAATTGGTGATTAGCCATCACAAAAACATGAGAATTCATCCATTTTCCACCACTTAATCGGTTTAGGGTCACAGGTGAGCTGGAGTCAATCCAATCTTTGGCTGTGATGCGGGGTAAACATTTGGCTGATCGCCAATCAATTGCCAGTGCACATTCACACCTGTCTTTAATTAACATAACATGAATGTTTTTTTGTTTTGTTTTGTCTTTTTTTTTTTTTTTTTTTTTTTGTGGTATGGGTGGAAAACTACGGACTTCCGTAGAAAACAGAGTACTTGGAGAAAACTCATACTAACACAGGAAGAACATGCATACTCCACATTGGAAAGGCCTTAGCCCAGATTCGAACACCGAACCTTTGACTATGGGGCAGATTTTTGACACGTTCAAGATATATTTTAGAATTTCAAAGGAAGCAGATTACATTTTGCACAACGAGATAATTATCACACTGATTAAAAAAAAAAAAAACACTCACATTTTTTGCAGCCAAAAAGTCCAAGCCTTGAGCCACTTGATAGGAAAACCTCAACATGTCATCCAAATCCAACGGCCATTCTCCAGTCTCTTCGCACGCAGCGTCTAGGCACGAGTCCCATCATGTTAGCAAGACAATAAAGCTGTGTTTGTTTAAGGAAAAGTCCTCATAAAATAAGTGACAATCTTACTTTGTAATGGCTCGCTGTTTGACAGATGGCATGGTCTCATCTCCAAGTAGCTGCTCGATGACGCACTGGAGATGCCACTGTCACTGTAGGATGAAATTGTCACACATCTTTGTGGAACGTGTGGTAACTTGGAATTCTCACAGAAGTCAAATCCAAAAGGGGACAAAACTGGACAACAACGATAAAGCTCTGTTCTATTTGACTTTTCCATCCCAAAGTTTTCTATCATGCTAATCCATTAGTGTCGCGGGTGAGAGACAGGTTGTGCGTCGGACTGGTTTTCGGTCGATTTCAGCGAACATGTAAACAAACAAGCATCCGCACTTCATCACACATGCACAATTTAGAGTGTTCAGTCAACCTTATGTGTTGATCAAGGAAAGGAAACGTGTCGCAAAAGACTTTACTGAACATCACTTTGCAAAAACAGGAAGTTAACCAGCAGCCCAGCATCGAAAACAACCCCATCCTGAACACACCACTGAACTTTTAGTTTCAGAGGGGAATTAGTCAACAAGCACCACACAGACCATCCTCCCAAAATTCGGCCATTATCAAATTCCTCATACCTATGCGGTACGACAGCCCGTTTGATACGTGTTTGATTCACTCAATGACACTTCAGAACTGACGTCAGGGCCACGCAGGAGGTGTGTCACAAAAGGCAAAACCTAAAAGTTATCCTGAGGTATAAGATACACAACTCTTAGTTCCATGGGCGAATTAGGCCCACCGGCACCACACATGCATATTTTTTGGAATGTGGAAGGGAGTTCCAGAGAAAACTCACGCAAGCACTGGGAGACAGCCTCAACAGTTTGAGACTTTTCACAAGTTCATCGTTGCCATTGTTCTTGGTGTCCTACCTTCTTATGAAATGTTTCTGATTGCAGATATTCTTATAGTTGTTGGAGTTCTCCGTTATGGCGGGTATGTTCATGACAAAGCTTATAAAAGTTTCTGCCTTCTGGCGGAGGAAGTTTAGTAGGTCCCCGAGGCTGCAGTACTCTGTGATTACCAGCACGGGTCCTGAAGAGGAACCACATCACATGAAGGACATTTCATCAAAACCCCGCACCGGATCTGCATGCATATTTATGTTGCAAAACTAGGCTTGGAAATCATGCTACCTCCGTAGGTGCAGGCCCCCAGTAGATTGACAATGTTCTTGTGATGTCCCAAGTGACTCAGGATCTTCAGCTCTGACATCAGCGCTTCTCTCTCATCAGAATGGGCGCTGGCTTCAAAGAAAAAAAACAAAAACAATCGGCATTTATCCGCTGTCGCTGATTCGATCACGTGAAAATATCGATAATGTCTTGATCACGTTTTCTGGAACAACAATTCACAGTCACACCTTTTAACATTTTCACAGCAACACGCATCACATTGTCTTGCTCTCCCAGACCGATGGCTGTGGCCTCCACCACTTTTCCAAAGGCTCCGGCCCCCAAGATCTTTCCTGCAAAGTTGGACCTGACTTCATGACTTTGAAACACCTTTCATTATTTGAGGCGTCGCTGAATGCCTGAATAAACACATCTCTGACAGTGAAAATTCAAACTCAACATGACTATCTTGGTCAAAGCAAAGATTTCAAGACAGTTCATGTTATGGATCTCACTCTAGTCTATAAATGAACCGAACGGATCGAACTACTTCAAATAAAACACGCTTCTAACCGAGCTTGAGTTTATCCCGTGGAAACTCCCATTTATCGTTGTAGGGCAGCTGTGTAGGGTCAATAAAAGTGTAGTTGTTTCCATCTCTTGCCTCGATGATCTTCCAACGGATCTCATACCTGGGTTTCTGGTTTAGGGAGGAAGGGAAAGAGTAGTTTGAAAGCAAGTCACGTTTGTGTTAAAACAGCCATCATGCTGTCACTCGAAGCATTACCTGCTTATATTTGTAAAACAGAAACACCAGAAGCAGAAGAAGGATGGACAGGATGCCTGCAGAGCCAGTTAAGGTGGAGGTGAAGAGTTTGTCTGCATAACCAGAGAAAGATCAATTAGTCGTGGTGACTCAGTGTGATACAAAAGCCAGTTCTTTGAAGATGTAGCTGTAGAAAATGTGCTTAAATTTGCATTTGCTATGAGAATGGGTCATTAGTGTCACAAACAGATAACATTAAGTTCCAAATTAAGCAGCTGACTGTGAGAAAAAAAAAAACGGAAATTTTCATGCAGAACATCAAATGTGGTTTAGGTCACGTCCATGTGATACAGTTAAAAAAATAAAAAAAACATCACAAGCTCAGAACAGCATTTCTGCTTGGATATTCACCAGAAACCTCCATGGCAAATGTGTCACTGCTGACTCCAACTAGGTTAAAGGCAACACACTCCACTGTCATCCTCCGGTTGGATGGTCCCACAGTCAGAACACTCTCTACCGCCACCGTCCCATATTCCTCCCTTTGAAGCTCCACCGTCTGAGCTTGCAGGAGGGTTGCCATCTGCGCACCGGTATTGCTTTCGTTGCACCTGGCTCAATGCAAACAGGTATACATTTAGATTACAGCATTATTTAATAGGATTTCAAACAAAACAAAAAAAAAAAGCCCTTTAGTGGGGAGAAGTGTAGCTGATCACTGCCATCATTTGGTGAGAACATCATTTATTGTTTTTATTGAGATCAGATGGAATGTTTTGTGCAGAAAAGCAAATTAGTGATACAGCATGCTAACATTCATGCTAGCTTTCTTTTGCCTCTTGTATGTATGTGTTAAGTATGGCGGTTTTAAAGAGAGACTTTCAGTGTACAGCAGATCAAGGAAGTGCTCTTTGGACCTCTTTTATCGTGTTTAGAGGAAATCAAGACCTGGATGGCAAATATAATGTAGGACACAACTTCAGAAAGGTGTTAGGGTGTCACAGTGAAGTTACGAAGGCCCCCTAAGAGCCTTATTTTGGGAGACAGGCGCCCGTGCGCAGGGCATAACGGGCATAACTTCATTTTCGTGCCAGCGCAAGTCGAGTCAAGCATGTTTGGGGCCGTGTTTTGATCACAAAGCAGCATCGCTCATGACACGATAATTTGGTGATAGAAAGTCGTAATGTGCTTGGCATAACAGCAATTGCGTCATCATTTTTGAGCAGGGGTAATGGTTTAGTTCATGTTTGTGAATTTGGTTGACGCGCTACACTTCAACGGGGGTTTCTGCCTCACCCAAACAGCCCATCTGCAAATTTGGTTATGAAACAGACTCGATTTTAGACTTGCAAAAAGCAGGTTTAATTGAAGACGCGGGCAGTCGTTTGCGATATTTGTGTATTTCATCGAGAAGCAGGCAGATAAATTGGTGCGGATGTGAGTGCCGGATATTGTGTTTCACTCATAAATACGACACCAGCATGGGATAATCCCTCTGAATCATTAATTAAACGGATTATAATCATCGGAATCTTTAAAAAAATATTGTCAAGGTACCCACTGTCATTATTGTGTATTGGTGTGTGTCTGTATCTATTGGGGTTGTGGGGGCATCCACAGCGCCTGCATTCATACATATATTTTTCATTCAGAGGTCAAGGACTATTATTATTATATTGTATCTCCTGTTTGCCAAGTTCATTTATTCAGTAATAAAAGTACCCAGGACTCCATTCATAGTACTAGCAGCCCATTACTGAGAGTGTTAATAACTTAGTTACGTGAGATGGGTGTTACACATTCATCCATCCATCCATCCATTTTCGAGTCCGTTTATCCTCAGAAAGGTCGCGGGGGTGCTGGAGCCTATCCCAGCTGTCTTTGGGCAGTAGGCGGGGGACACCCTGAACTGGTTGCCAGCCAATCGCCATTTGCGCTCACAATCACACCTCGGGATAATTCAATTCAGTGTCCCATTAACTTGCCATGCATGTCTTCGGAATGTGGGTGGAAACCGGAATACCCCGAGAAAACCCACGCAGGCCCGGGGAGAATATGCAAACTCCACACAGGAAGGAATTGAACTCTGAACCTCAGCACTGTGAGGCGAACGTGCTAACCAGTCCACCAACATGCCGCCCATGTCAACACATCCAGTAAAGAATATTTTTTGTACCACTCATTAGAATAGGAATTCATTGTTTTGTTTTCACTTGGCAAAAACACTCACGTGGGGCGTATTCCAAAACATTGGTACCAGATGATTCTAGGGGCAGGATAGCCAAAGGACGTGCACGTCAGAGTGGTCACATTTTCCCATCTCACCACAGCAACCGGTTTCTCTGCCATTTCGACGAGAACACCGATGACCCACATCAAACACCAAATCGGGACTAGGGAGCTTAACAAAAGCTGCTGAACATGTCACTTACGATACATCTGGACTTGGAATGTGATGGAGGCGCTGGCCAGTTCACTCCTAGCGCTGAAAGTATACTGGCCTTGCTCCTGAGCATTCATTCTCTTCAGTTGCAATGTAGCGTGGTATCTGATGGGGAAGAGGGGCGGGGCGGTTTGGGAGGAAGAGGAATTTAATTTTGACTACTTCAGAATTTGTGCACTTTCACATTAGTGTAGAACAGAACTTCTTTGTTGCAGCGGTGTCATTACCTGAGGACAAAGATCAAATATTCACTCTCTGTACTCAAGCAGAAGTGCAGATATTGTAAATGGGTAAAAAAAAAAAAAAAAGTACAGTTTCAGCTCTTTTACTAAAATCCAACAGCTGGTGGCTACATCTCTTGTCGTGGCAATCCCCGCGTTAACCAGGTGGCATATATTCCTACCACTGGAGGTTTGAAGTGGCGATATTTTCACAACTCAAACATGTAGGGATGTGTTAGCATAAGACAAGTTGCTCAAGACAAAGTAGTATTTATTTTTCAGCGGGGCATTAAACGTTTGAATTCAAAAAGACAATGGAATACTTTTTCACAATTTTTCAGCGACACGTTATAGTCTTTCTGTGGTGTGTTAAATTTCGAGGACATTGATTTTCCCTTTCCAGGCCCTGTAAGTACATTTCTGTGACCCCTGTATTTGTAAACGCAATCAAGACTGGATGTCCATGGGCTATGAAATTCAATTTCACCTGTTGTTATACCGGATGAGCGTCTTCTCCTGCGCGGACGTGCTGGGGGATGTTGGCGTTTGCCAGTTGTGTTCCACAATGTGGGGATACGCCTCAATGAGCACCGTGAGCTCCAGATCTTCTCCCTCGTTCACCTCAACTTGAAGACCCTTGACAGTCAGCTTTGGGGAGAGCTGAGGCAACAGTCGAATGTATGGCTTGTCTGCATACATTCACACAAGAGAATCCCTTTCTGAATGCATCTTTTTGTCTGAATCATGCCACAAGTGACTCATTTCATCGCTTACCCACAACCAGCAAGTACGTTGTTGAACTGTTCATCCCAGCTTCATTCGTTCCGACGCATGAAATGTTGCCAGTGTCTGCAGGGTCCACAGCAGGGATGGTGAGGATGCTCTGTATGTCCAAACGGTTTTCTCCACTGGAGCGGACCCTCTCCTCTATCGTGGGTTTCTGAAAAGACAGCAAACGAGAAAAATAAGAGTTTACGATTCTTGTAAAACCCAAGAGACATTCCCAACATGGATCATACTAACTGATTTGGTGGTGTAGACCCAGGTGACATTGTAGTTGAAGTTGGGATTGTGTGTTGTGCAGCAGATCTTGAGTTCCTCTCCAGTAATTCGTATGTATTCATCCGTCTCCAAAAAGACGTACGGAGGGAAACGGAGCTCTACAGAAGGATGGAGTGATACGATTAGTCCCCAAGAGGCGGCATTACCACCGGAATGTTGTGGTCTCTTAATTCTGCCGTGGTCTCACTCTGGATGACATTAATGGAGAAGGCTTTGGAAGTGCGCTCCACTCCATTGACTTTGGCTGTGCATACATAGTCAGCATTGAAGCTCGGGTGTAGGCTGTGGATGAGAATACCACGGTGCCGGTAGACAGTGAAGTTCATCCCAGGAGGAACAGTGGTGCCGTTGTCCATGCGGAGACTAATGTCTGTGGCGCTTGGGTCAGTCAGCAGGCAAGGTAGCAAGTAAACCTCACCCTCTTTTTTCACCACCCTCAGCAGGGTGCTGCTGGTCCAGAAGACACGGCTGGGATCTGGCATAGGGAGGGGCAAAGGATTGGAATCAACAACCATACTGACCTGAGTGGAATGATGACCCAAATGTTACGCCTCCATGCAAATCCCGGAAACAAAAAGTTTACCTTTTACAAACACGTGAACCGATGACGTCAGATTGTGATGCTGGCTTCCACCTGTGTAAAAACACTTGTAGGTCCCAGTGAATTCGGCAGAGGGACGTGCCACCTTCAAAGTGCAGACATTTACTTTTCCCTTGGACATGTAGCGTTTGTGTTTGGCCAATCTGGGTTGCCAGTTCACAGGTGCATCACCCTCACACCTCAGATCCAATGGGGTGCCGGACTTGACCACCACCTCAGGACCTGTCACCACCTTTGAGTTGAGCCTGATCACTGGACGCCTCCGCTCCACTAAGAAAGAAGAAGATCCATCATTATAGGTCCGCAGCTTTCAAATGAGCTTTTTAATGAACTTTTTGATGGCATCCCTTGCCATCCTATTGCTTTTTAAACAAATGGGCCCTATTTTCATAGCAAGCCCAAATCTCGTGCAAAGCACCATCTAAATGTGCGCCTTACATACGTATACAGTATACTGTAAAGTTGTACTGTGTGTAGTGTGTTATACAATACATAAAGTTGTATTACATATGTGTGTTATAACGTGACACGTTATAAAATTATATACACGTTAAACGTGTATATAATTTTGTACAATTTATTTAGAAAAGAGTCTGTATCAACCCTCATGTTGTAAAAGTGATGTTCACATTTCAAACATACATGTTCCTTTCACAAAATTCATCCTTCACCAGCGGCTGGTCCACCTGTCCATCATCGTTATTCTAACTGCACTTCCGTCATCGCTAAATTTCAATTTGTCACCACTTTTTTAAGACCATCAATAAAAAACTGTTTTCAAGAGTAACAGCAGTGGTGGGCGGATCAGTAAATTATGTCGGTCCATGATTCGTCATTCGCCATTGGTCCGGCCGGCCAGTTCATCATCAACACGTCATTATTTCAGGCTGGCCCAGTCCGTCAGTCGTCACCACATCACAGGCAGGTGCAGAACAAGCAGACATACAACCAGATAAAAAAAAAAAAAAAAAAGCAGATACATCCCCGAGCGTTGTGAAATAAAAACAATATGGGACAATGTCATTGCAGTCTGTGGCACCGAAAGGTTAAACAACACAGCCAGCTTCCTTTACCGGCCGGGACAACCTAAAAAAACGAGCAGGCTAGGCGAATGGGAACCAAGATTTGGGCAGCCAACACAACAACAGGCTGCCAGATTGAATCGCAATGCAGCTGCCTGTTGGAAAGTTCCTCAAATCTGTGTTCACAACACAAGACCAAAAAAAAAATTTATCTCAGAGATGGTTTGTATCTCTGAATAAATAAAAATAAATGGAATACTTGTAAATCGAGGTACACACGTATTCGTGTTTAAAACACATGTTGGGACATTCATTGGTAATCAAAAAATGAGGTAGGAAAGTACATTTGCCTCTAAGGGACAAAAGACATTTGGTAAAGTGCAATGTTGTAAAAGATGACTGAGTTAGTGCCTCTCAGCAAAAGGCTACATGTTTCCACCGTCACATGGTCACACTGTGAACAAGTAACTGTCTAATATCATTTGTCCTACAGTCATTGCCTGATGTTGCATCATGAACCAAAGTTTGAGTCATTCCAGACCAGGGCTTAACAGGTGCATTTGAGTGAAGTCTGCAGTTTGTGTTTCAGCAAAACAACTGACGTAAATCCATATGGCATATATAAATATTTCGGGTCATTTGTTCATTGGAATGCACTGTAAAGACTGTCAGTCTCAAGTTGGGCTGAGGGGCCTTAAAGGTCAGATTGTGCCTTCATCTCCGACTGGCAATCGAGTGACCTTCCAACCTTTTCCTGCCAGTCTCTCACACTATGTCGTAACTACACTTTCAGTCAGGGTTATACGAATTTCCAATTACAGTGTGTTCTAAAGCTTTTAGCAGAACTAAGATTCTGCATTCTGCGTTTTTCCCTTTGGCTCATTCCCAGCAATGGATGTTAAAGACACGGCAATCAGTATTTAGGCCTTAAGCCTCTTCCTGTGGGTCTTTCCCACCCATGCACACCGTCCACTCAAACGTCCAATGAACCCCCCCCCCCCTCCCCACACCATCCACATGTTAAACAGTAATCTAGCGGAAAGCGAAGCCAATTCAGTCAGTCAGAATTAACACGGCACAAAGGAGGCATTCGTGTGCAAATGCTAATACATGAAATTGCAATTACAGGTCAAATAGCAGAATCGTATACACATGCACACAACGCCACCTCCCCAAAAATGGTGGTATCGACACAAGAAGGACGCCTGGAGAAATTCATGATGATACCAGAAGATAACACCCACAGAAACAACCGTGAATGAGTATAAGGAATATACAAAAATACAAAAAAAGACAAAATTGTTTACAAATAAAAAAGTGTCTCAAAGTAAAACAACTGTTAAGTCAGCGGTATTTGATTTTTTTTTTTTTTTTTTGCCTTACCTGTGGCGACAAAGACCAAAAATCCCAGCAGCAGAGTCAGGAGGGCCTGCATCCTAAATCGACTCCAAAGCAGCGATTGAGTGTTGATGTGTGAGTGCAACCCAACACTCTTTTGAAGTCTGCTGCGTGCAAGAGACGAAACCACATCATAAGCAGCTTGTTGAGTCAACACCCTTCTTAACTTCTCATTGCTGACCACATTACATAGCATACGCTTTATTTTCAAATGCGAAATAACTTCAAAAAATGTAAAAAACTTCCAGAAAACATTTCTTCCTAATGATCATGCTTGTGGAGGCTCTCAGTCGTACAGGAAAGTTCCATCGTAGAAAGGGTTCTGTCAGTCATCATCTGTACCTGTGGGTAAAAAACAAAAAAAAAAAACAAAAAAAAAAAAAACAAAAAAAAAAAAAGCAAAAAAGGACGTTTCGTTCCTAATGATCAGGGAGCATAAAACTTAAAATGCCTTTGCCTATTTCATTTTATTTAGATCAGATGTTGTCTAAGGCTGTCAAGTTGTTGCCAAGTTAGTGCATCAATAACCTAACTACATATCTGGTACATTTACCGTCCCGTTATGTTTGTTTCTTTGGTATTCCAAAAACCCTCCATGAATCAGCGTGACCCATTGCATGGATAAATGAAGGTTCATTTTAAGGATGTATACCTGTATGTACCTGGACAGAAGTACTGTATACTATCATTATTCCTAAAAATGATCAGATACTATATGTATCACCAGCCTAACGTATACCTTCCGGATACAACAGCCGCGCGTGTGTAGAGATATTAGGCGACTGCAAATTATGCCCGGCAAAATGGAGGATGAACACCAGCCGACTTTCGCAAGGCCCATCGCCCACTTTTCCCACGGTGTGGTGAATACGGTTAGTTTCATAATCTGGAATATCATAGTTGATAACAAATGGTCAACAGCAAATTTAAATTATAGATGGCTTTATTTTCTCCTTGAGTTTATTTTGAATGCTGATTTCAAATGTCTTGACTTTTTTTTCCGAGCACATCAGAACTCGGAGCTTTATTTTAATTAGGCGTTAGTATTTGTGTTTTGGATTTTCACAATATCTTTCAGTATTTTTTTGGGGGGTCGAAACTGTGGTCTGTGTGTCTCTCTCTCTCTTTCTCTCTCTCCCTCTCTCTCTCTCTCTCTCTCTCTCGCTCTCTCCCTCTCTGTGGGCTTTAAGGCAACAATTCAAAGCTGCGCTCCAAACCCTTGCCGCCGGTGAAGCAATGTGTACCAGGTGTGTGGGAGCATGTACGACCCCTCATCCTTGTTATGGTGCCATCTCCACATCTCCTTATTTCAATCGACTTCTTGATCAATCTTTTGAATTATTGGTGTCTGATGTGATGACTTTGCCCTCCTCCCAGTCCATGATGTAATTATAAGGAGTGACAGCTCCGGCAAAGGCTGAAGTGACAGCCAAAGCTTTCACCTTAGTAAGAGTTTTTCTCTTGAATAAAAGAAAGACCATTGTCGGGGACAAAAGAAACCTAAAAGTGACAATGATTCTTGCTTCAAGAATAGTCTTAAAAATCGGAATAGTAGCGGAATTCATACCTGTATTGGATGTTGCAAAGTTGTGTTTATTTTGTTTTGTAATATGTGATTGTCAGTGTTGTCATGTTGTAAAGTTACCCAAAAAAAAAGCTTATATTTGACTGAAATGTCTGCCATGTTCAAGAAAATTTTGCATTTTTTTAACAATACTGATTGAAACATATTTTAACCACCACTATCAAGTATCAGTACTCGATATCAAGTAATACTCAAAGTACTTGTTCTCGTACTTGCTCTGTAAATTGTATTTTGGATTATCCTTATTCATTTAAGTCAACATGTTGAACAAAAAGGTGTAAAGATACAAAAATAGAGCCCTTTACATTGCGTTTTCAAAATTGCTTTTAATTTACAAACCTGATAAAGAGTCCATTTGATTTGCAACCTAACAGGAGGGTAAAGTGGGCTTTTCAAAATGAGCTATACCTTCATCATTTTGAGGTTGTATTTATTTTCAGCAAATAAAGCATTGTAATCTAACTCACATTAGTAAAAGTACTGAATGTCAGTGAGAGAATGGACATCATCCTCTGACCACAATCTGTAGTTTTCTATTTGTGGGCCATAAAAGATGAAGGCCAAAGTTTATAAAGGATTGACTCGTAAGCCGGTTGGGACATCAAACATGAAATGTACTTACCGTTGGTTGTGTTCAGCCTGGCAGAGAAGATGATGAAAATGCTTGTGTCCTGTTCGAACATCAGGAGCAGATCCAAGAGTCTCCTCCTACCTTCTTCCTGCTTCCTCACACTGACTCTGCCACTCTTGTCACACAGCAAACATGAAATCTTTTCGGCAGACAAATGGATGGTGGAGGGGACTGTGTGTGTGTGTGTGTGTGTGTGTAAGGGAGGGAAGCTGTTCAGCACATTATGCTTAACGAATTAATGAGCCAGCTCCAATTTGCCAATTCAAGGCCAAATTCTCTCATGACGAGGAAGTGCGACGAATAGCCCCTGCCTCTGCAGAACTGTGACCGCCTACGGGTTTATCTAGCTCTGCGGAGTGAGACGTTGAATGGGAAAAGCACAAAAAAAAAAGACTCAGATGCATGCACTGAGAGGGTTTGTGCTGATACATATTTATTCTCATGTTACATAGAGTATACACATGGTCAACTTCATGTTGAGCTTTGGTAGCGTAGCTTGTGGTTGTCGGACACGGTGGACAGAGCGCTGCATGTATGACGTTTGCATCAGCGCACAGTAGCCCTTCATTATAAGCAATCATATGTACAGTGAATAGACTGTACATAACAAAGGCACACTTTTGTGCAAAGGCAGTGATACGCTGTATTTATCGTTCTCCTCAGTGTAACAACCACACTTCCTCACTGGCAGGCGGACCGCTAAATCTCATATGGCTGTATACATTTTATTTATTTATTTATTTTTAAATCAATACTTTTTTCCCCTTTTCTGTTTAAGTACACCACATTAAGTCAAAACGAAGGAAAGCATGGGATCAGACCTACTGGCTAGCTGTCTCTCAGGTCCGTCCACAACCAAATTCATGCACGTAGTCTTTACAGAGCTGGTTTTGTACATTGGGATGCGCCAAAACATCTTGGTTTCCTGAAAAATTAACATTCAGAAATAACCAAGACGTATGTCTCAATACTTGTTCCATTAAAAAAATGTTTCCCCAATTTCGTGTTAGTTTTGCATTGCAATGAAATGATGCTCACCTGCATGCTAATTTCTCAAACATTACCACATGCCAGCGACGATATACAAGTCAAACATCTTTTAACAGGGTGAACATTTCAAATGTACCTTGATCATGAATACATCAACATATTCGACATAAAGTGCAAATGTGGCACAGACCTATGAATGGAGGCTTATACAGTACACACAAAAAAGATCTCAATCTAATGTGAAATTCATTCAAAAGGACAAAACCATTTCATAGTGTTCTCAGCTTCTTTGATTAAAACCACCGACTATCATTATGGGATATCAAAACAGTGCATAAAAAAAAAAAAGCAGTCCCCATATTTCAACATTTTCCAACATGTTATGTTTGTTTCTTTATACAAGATCTGGCAATCAAACATCTGTACGCGATATGAATATTCACTTATTGAACAAATATAATTCAGTACCGAGGAATATTGTGAGGAATGTACTGCGTCTGTGTCATTGAAGTGTTCTAAGAATGAGAAAAGCATGTCGATTATGGAGAATTTCAGAGGTATTGAGTGTGAAAAAGGAAAAAAATAGATATAGACTAAGAACAGAATGTCTCAGATGTGCTTAGTGGAAATACACAGCTCCTTTTAGTCTCCGTGATGCTACATTCTACTTTAGTCATGTTCCTTTTTTACGGCCCCCGTTTAATAATAGGAGGAAAAAGTCCCCAAGTAAATGGTTTTTTCCCAGATTTTCTTTTCCAGAATTCCTAAATGTGACTACAGAAAGCTGTCCTCTACCTCGGGCGTCCCCGACAAGCCCAGCAGAGCGTCTCTCTCGCTGGTCCCTTCCATCCGGTCCTCCTCTGGGAGCGTCGCGGTCGTGTCCTGAGACACCGAGTCCATCTCGACCTCCGGCGCTACGGAGCTGAGACGGAGACAAAGTGACACAGTTACGTCTTGCCGCCAATCTGTTTGTCACGTCATGCCACGTTTGTTGCTTATTGCACTTCAAGCATTATGTCTGAAGCATTTGTCTTAAGAGATTGCAAACTCCATTGAATGTCTATTTAACCCTTTCATGCACCCTGTAACCTGGTAACATGATCAGCTGTCCACTGTAGTAACCACTGTCCCTGAAAGGGTTAAATCTGAAACAAAACTATTTTGACATTGGAGTAAGCCATAGTTTACAATAATAAAAAGTCACATTTTGGCTCTTTCTCTTTGGAATAAAATTAACCCAGTGCTTCCTTGCCTTTATTTTGCCATAAAATTAACCCCATGCTTACTTGACTTGAAAATATGGCTGAATAAAGGTAAGGCCTTTATTCAGCCATATTTTCAAGTCAAGTCAAGTCAAGTCAACTTTATTGTCAAATGTGCTCGATATGCAACATATAGCACAGATGAAATTTCTTTCCTCTCAACCGCAGGAGAGAGAGGAGCCGTTGCGAGTACCCGCGCCGCCATCAATTTTGGCAACGCTGTAGACGTTTATTCAACTGAGGCAATAATTACTCTCTGTCAATTTTTATCAAGGTAGCCTATTCATTGATATTTCTATCATCACTTCAAGACCGCAATGATTTCAGCCCACATTGGGATTTCCTTCATTGTGACCAGGAAAGGAATGGCGATATACTGTATATATACAGTGTGTGTGTGTGTGTGTGTGTGTGTGTGTGTGTGTGTGTGT